AAGAAAAAATGAATAAAATAATACAAAAAAGATGTTTAAAGGAAAAAAAAAGAAAGAAAAGGAAAAAGGAAGAAAAAGCTGAAGGAAAAAAAAGAAATGCTGAAGGAAAGAAAAAATGAATAAAATAATACAAAAAATGATGTTTAAAGGAAAAAAAAAAAGAAAGAAAAGGAAAAAGGAAGAAAAAGCTGAAAGAAAAAGAAAGAAATGCTGAAGGAAAGAAAAAAATGAATAAAATAATACAAAAAAGATGTTTAAAGGAAAAAAAAAGAAAGAAAAGGAAAAAGGAAGAAAAAGCTGAAAGAAAAAGAAAGAAATGCTGAAGGAAAGAAAAAATGAATAAAATAATACAAAAAAGATGTTTAAAGGAAAAAAAAAGAAAGAAAAGGAAAAGGAAGAAAAAGCTGAAAGAAAAGAAAGAAATGCTGAAGGAAAGAAAAAATGAATAAAATAATACAAAAAAGATGTTTAAAGGAAAAAAAAAGAAAGAAAAGGAAAAAGGAAGAAAAAGCTGAAAGAAAAAGAAAGAAATGCTGAAGGAAAGAAAAAATGAATAAAATAATACAAAAAAGATGTTTAAAGGAAAAAAAAAGAAAGAAAAGGAAAAAGGAAGAAAAAGCTGAAAGAAAAAGAAAGAAATGCTGAAGGAAAGAAAAAATGAATAAAATAATACAAAAAAGATGTTTAAAGGAAAAAAAAAGAAAGAAAAAGAAAAAGGAAGAAAAGGAAAAAGAAAGGGAAGAATTTGATGGATGAGAAAAATAAGAGTTATAAAAAATTGCTGAAGAAAAAAATAACAAAACGTAGAAAAAAAAATAATGAAGAATGAAAGAGTGAAGGAAAGAGTGAACACAGTGAAGGAAAAAAGAAAGAGATACCTGAAAAAAGTAAAAAAATAAAATAGCTTAAGAAAGAGGAAAGAACCGAAAAAAAGAAAATTTTTAAGAGATTAAAATGAAGGTTTATGAAAATAAGATAATGAAGGAAAGTGAGAAGAAAGGACTAAGCATTAATTAAGAAGACAGAATGCAGAGTTGTCAGCAAAAATAACAGCCTGACATTCAAATTAAAAATTGGAGATACCAGAATCAAACTAGTACAATAATTTAAATATCTGGGAAGTGTTTTCACAGAGGATGAAATGTGCAACACCGAAATCTGAAGACACATTGGGATAGACAAAGTGTTATGCCATATTACCTATTCTATTGTAATGGACTCTCCCACAGATAATAAGTAATAAGTAGTAGTAGCAGTTGCCAGTTCAGCTCAGTGGTGTTGAGCGCATCAGACGATATCGGACATTGAAGTACCAACCATCACAACTAGATTGCTGTGTCAACTCTTATTTTCAAGTTCCTAACGTTTTGTACGTCGAACCTAATTTAGGACGACTTATTGAAATACAAGCCTCCACTGTGAAAACTACTCCACAACACAAAGATACCTTCCAAAAGCTAAGCAAAGTATTAAGAAAGAGGAAAATTTCACTAGAAACAAAGAAAAGAGTACTGAACAATTATATATCCTCCTATATGATAGTAAGTGCTGGACAATCTCCTCAAAGATGAACAAACTTGAAGCAACAGAAATGAGGTTCTACAGAAGGATGCTGAGAATACCAAGGACCGAACATAGGAGTAATGAAGTTTTAGAGAAAATGGAAACAAAAACAACACACTTGTACTTATCAGAAAGAAATAGCTGAAATTTTTAGGACACATAATAAGAAAAGAGTGCTTGGAAAATTTGATACTCACATGACATATTGAAGACAAGAGGGATAGAGGAAAATAATGCAGAACCTTTTTTCCTTTAAGGATGTAGGCAATCATGGCTCTCCACTTGCCCCTATCCCTTGTAGCTCTTCATTCATCTTCTACCTCCCCCAGACCACGTTATGTCATCCACTTGCTTAAGCCCACCAGGTATGTCATGCATTGTTTATCCTTTTCTCTCTTTCCTTCTATTCAACCTGTGAGTACCAAATTCTCCAGGCTCTCCTTTCTCATTACATGTCCTAGAAATTTCATCTGTCTCTTCCTGATATTAAGTATAAGTTTCCTCCTTGCTTGCATCCTCTCCCAAACCTCATTGTTGCTCACATGTTTGGTTCATGATATCCTCAGCATTCTTCTGTAGAACTATATGCATAACCTACCAAATAATTTTATATAAATGGATGGAGGAACAGTGTTTAGTAGAGATAATAAAAAGACAAAATGCTACAAATGACAGGAAGTTGTGGAGAAGCATGATCACTAACTTCCTGAAGGGACATGGCACATAGAAAAAGGAAAAGAAGAAGAAGAATAAAAAAGGAATGGTTAAAAAAGAAAAGGTCAAGAATAGATGAAAAATCTAAAGAAAGGGAAAAAACTGAAACTAAAGGAAAAAAAATAAATTGATGTCTGTGAAGAAAGCGGATGAAATAAGAAATATTTGAAGAAATGAATAAGAGAAGAATTAATTTGATTTTCTGATATTCCCAAGGACACATGATGAGAAAGAAATTGAAAATTACTCTGCAAGCAACTCTTACTGAAAAAGACATAAAAAAAACTGTCTTGAAATAAGATTGTTAAAGTTGAAAAACACGCAAAAGACGGGCAGGAACCATCTTGAATTGTCTAAATTTTCAGCAATTCAGCTACACAAAGCAAAAAGAATCTCAAATCATTTACTTTCAATATGTCCTGTGAATGTTAAATTTTCCAAACCTTCTTTTGCTATTATGATATGAAGTGGAAAGAGTATATTGGATCAATTGCTAAGTCTGCAACTAAGAAAGTTGGTCCACCGTGTCAAGCTAGACAATTTTTCCCACCAGAATCTATCTTACATATTTGTAAGTCTACCATTCATCCTTGCTTTGAATATTGTTGCCATATATGGTCTGATGCTCCTGCTGTATATTTAGAGATTCTTGATAAAAGCCAGAGAGGAATCTGCAATGTTATTGGTCCTGACCTGGCATCTCACATTCAGTCACTTTGCCACCGCCGTAATATAGCTTTCCCATGCCTTTTCTATAAATGTTTTCAGGGTAATTATTCTGATGTACCTTCCTCTATGGTACCTAGACTTTATGAATTTAAGCATAGTATTAGATTGGCAGCTAGGTCTCATCATTTTATATTTTAACCGTAAGTTCTATGCTAACAGTCTCTTCTATTGTACTTCATGCTTGTAGGTAGTTCCAAGTAGCAAGAACAGCAGGATTTTCTCCCTTCCTTCCAACTTGCATTTTCCCAAATATAAACTGGTTCAAATTTCTCTTTCTCACTTTAACTTCTGATGCCTGGGGAACGTTTGCCATTTTAACTTCTGATGTCGGGAGAGTCTATGCCACTTCAATTTCTGCATTTACCGTATTTTCCAGCTTACAAGACACTGCGGCTTCAAAGACATACCCTAATATTGGAAAGAAATTTCTAAGAAAAAAAGTCATTCTCATACAACATATTCACTAATTCACTATGCATCACTCACATACTAGTGCCATGTATTGTTTACATTAACCACTCATCTGATTTTGTTTGTATGGCAATGATATACTAATCAAGAGCAAAAAGGCTCCTGCCACTGCTAGTAAACAGAGCATATTTAAGCTTGTGGCTCAGCCCCAGGAAGGTTTATAGTCTTGGAAATACTTGTGACAGCTAAGTACTAAGGTTATATCATATAGAAAGCTGAGTTAGATAGCTAACATTATAAAGATTTAACATACAAATCCACATCCCTATCATTCAAGCCAATTAGGTAACCATCCAAGCTTAATTGAGCCTGGTCGTTGTTTATACGTGTATTTGCTCAATCCGATCTGTAAGGCATGCCTACTTTCCTGACCTCTGATAATTCCTTTCTACTGCATTTTCAATGCATTACTATATAAAAATTATCAGAATTATTATATATATATAATAGTTTTATTCTTTCAATAATGTTGCCTGACATTCATCTTGGAAGACACATTTTTCAGGGTACTTTTTGAAAAAAATTGCATCTTGTAAGCCAGAAAATATGGTAATTTCTACTGGAATTTTCATGTAAGATGTTTATAAATTTAAGTGGGCTAAACATTTTAATGTTATTAAAGCAAATACTGGATTCACTTTGTTTATATTTTTTGTTTCTTCCTGTAATTCCTTCTTTTCTTCTTTTCACTATTCTCTCACCAATTACGGCGAATGAAAATTCCATTGTAAAATTCTTCAAGATTAAAATAAATATAATCATTTAGAACTTTTTATTGTTTCTACTGAATGTCTTTTTAATTGGTGAAACAATTAACAAATGAATTCTTATTTTATATTGTCAATATTTATGTCACACTCTAAAATAAAATAAAAATGACTATACAAAGATTAATCTTAAGTATCAATCATGAAAACCTTTTGCTTGGGTATTCGTTATAATGGAATGTCCCACACTTCCTATCACCTATGTGAACTGACTATATCAGTAGACATATATATAGTGAGCGCAAGATATACCTGGGGACTTGCTTTGGGAATTAGTTGAAGATTTGTCTCTAACTAAGCTAGTCGAACTCTCTGCCTTTGGGCAGAGAGGAATCCAGACAAGGCTTTGCCTTTGGGCAGAGTCTTGTCTGGAGAGGTAGATAGCTACCCGATCCCATTTTTTATGAGGTCATACGGGGAATTTTTGCCTGAGCCCACGAGCTCGCTTTTACCCCGCATTAAAAAAGGCCTCGTGCCATATCCTGCCTCACTGGGTAGTGAGGTAATTAATTTGAGATTTGTCTCCGGCTGTGTTGGTTGAACTCTCTGCATCAGGTGGAGAGGAACCCAGATGAGGCTATGCTGAAGGGCAGAGTCTCGTAGTGGTAGACAGCTACCCAACCCCGTTTTTAATGGGGTGTACGGGGAATTTTTGCCCAAGCTTACGGGCTCAGATACCCCATGTTAAATTCGGCATTGTGCCACATCTGACTTCATAGGGCAGTTGGCAAATACCTTTGCTTCGGCAATTAGTTGGAGATTCGTCTCCAGCTAAGCTGGTCAAACTCTCTGCTTTTGGGTGGAAAGAAACCCAGATGAAGTTCTACAGGGAATTTTTACACAAGCCCAAGGGCTCGGTTTTAACCCCACATTAAAAATAATCTTGCTTCGACAATTAGTTGGAGATTTGTCTCCAACTGTGCTGGTTGAACTCTCTGCCTTCTGTTGAAGGGCAGAGTCTCATCTGGGGTGGTAGACAGCTACCTGACCTTGTGTATAGGGCATCTACATGGAATTTTTGCCTGAGCCTACAGGCTCGGTCTTGCCTTGCATTAAAAATGGCTTTGTGCCACATCCTGCCTCATGGAGAATTAAGGTAAATATCCTTGCTTAAGGAATTACTAGCCTGCCACCCAATTCCCTGTCTTTCAGTAGTGTATTTTCTTTTACAATAAACCTCTCTTTCTTTCATCTACGCACGTGTTGCTGTTCCTTCACTTGAGTACCACCTTTGTCTGTTTGTAACCTCTTTAAGGATACAACAGTACTGAAAATAACTCTTTTAATATCTATATATTAGTTTCACAATATCTACCTCCTTATTTCTCTACATAATATAAAATTTGTCAATTTTGGTTATCTATATTTTAGCTGCCCTATATATTTAATGATAATTTTATCACATATGTGTAGGGAAACCTTGAAACATGAAATAACATATTTTTAATACTTAGACATTCATTTTTCAGCTAACCTGAGACGTTCATAAATTTATTAAGTGGGTAAGAAAAACTAAAAACACAGTGTGCCATGTTCTGCCAATCATGATCATACCTCAGTTGACGCTCTTTTTAAATGAGCATTATAAAATAAACCTTCCTACTTCTTTGTTCTTAGGGACCCTCCAGAAATTGGAGTATTTTTTAAGGAAATTTTCCAACCTCAAACTTATTAAAACCACCTTGTTTATTAATTTTGTACTTTTTGACCCTTTAAATGATTTTCCAACCCCAATTTATCAAGACCCCCATCATTTACTGAATATTGAAAAGAATTCCGACATTCGAATTATTAAGATCCCCCAACACCTTAATACCAAAAATAGTTTTAAAAAAATAAAGAATATAAAAAGCTTCACTCACTTCAAATGATCAAAGGGGTAAAGGAGTAATAGAACTTAATATAGCAAACATATCTGTCTTTTTTCATCTTGATTCTTTCCCTACTTTCATTTAACTTACATTTCTTTGTATTTTCATTTAGCTTTCTGCGTCCTGGGTATGACAATAAACTACATCTGTGTTCTGGGTATGACGATAAACTACACTCGTGTCCTGGGTATGACGATAAAATACATCCGCATCCTGGGTATGACGATAAACTACATCCAGCAGCAAGACCTCTGATCAGGAGGTTTTGAGGAGCATGGAACCACCTCTTAATTGCTGGTGTTTCCAGATCCACCCTGACCTGGGGTGGTAGAACCTGTTAGGGTCCCAGCTATGGACAAATAGTTAGCACCCAAACTTGTGTAAAAATAGGTTTTAATACCAGAAATACTTTGTAATAAAAAAAATTATTACCAGCAATAATTTTTGAAGGAAAAATTATCAGCAATAGTTTAAAATAATAATAATAATAATACCAGCAATAGAAACAGCTATACATACTTTGAAAAAAATATGACCAGCTATAGATTTCTTCAAGGAAAAATATTCCCAGAAATAGATTTTTGAAGAAAAACATTACCAGCATAAAAAGATTTTGTCGGCATTAAATAACCTATTGAGATTGATATGCCGTAAAACAAAACAAACCAAACCAATCTAAACCAAAGAATACATATTCTATTCATATGAATCTATCCTAAAAATGTTGTCGGCATTAAATAACCCATTGAGGTTGATATGCTGTTAAACAAAACAAACCAAACCATCTAGATTTCTTACTTACCTTCTACCAATATGCTTCAGTTTATTTCCCTAATTCTGTCATTATTTAAAAAATAAACAAATGATGGCTACATTGTGCATGTGACACTTTTCTGAATGTTAGAGTCAGTGAGGTCAGTAAAAACAAATTTGTGTGCCAAGAATAAGTTCAATAATAAATCCAAAACGTCCAAAAGGCAAAGCGGTCGTAAACAGAGTTCAGCAGGCAAATAACGAAAATGAGGTCAAAAATCCAACCTTCCACTCACAACAGAGAAAATGCATTTTCGCTCACCAAGCTAAAAACTCACTGTTCCCATTTCAACCAAAGCAGTGTTTTTTTCTTCACATAGCAATTTTTCTAATTGGCCGCACCAGTTAGGGAGGAAAGAACATTAGCATAGTTCTTCTCATACTTAAAGTGACAGGTTTTTGCTAACAATTTTCTTTAATTTTTCTTTGGCAGACCACACACAAAACAAAATCTTTTTTGAGGTAGGTGAATTTCTCTTTCGTTACACTCAAACTGCACAGATATTACTTGGATTCTTGATAGAAGTGCCAAGAATTATCATTTTGATCTGAGGAACATCACATGGTCGGAT